GACTCTACCGAAATCATTCGAAAACAAAATGGAGGACAACACACAGTACTGGCGAGCATCTGAAGATACATCCAACAACATCCGATTCTTCGAAGCCATTCACCGCAAAAAGTTCTCTCACATATGCACGGCTCCGATCAAGTACAACCCACAATGGAGCACGGAAGGCGAAGATGCCGCCTTCATCGTCACCGGCGCTCAACTCCACGTTAAAAAGCACGATTCCAAGAGTGTTCTTCATCTTAGACTGTTGTTTTCTAAGGTCTCGGATTGTTTCGTGGTTCAATCAAGATGGGCACATGCTGCCTCTGGGTATTCACAGAGGTCGTCCGGTTTGCTTTCAGCCATCAGTCAGTCCCTAACGGGAAACCCTGTTAAAAAAAAGGAGGTGGCTGTTGTTGTGGTTGATTCCGCCGTGTACCCCACCGGGCCGCCGGTGCCCGTTCAAACACCAAAGCTGTTGAAGTTTGTGGAAACTTCGCAGTTATGCAAGGGACCTCAAGATAGTCCGGGGTATTGGCTGGTTACGGGTGCTAGGCTGCAGTTGGAGAAAGGAAAAATAAGTCTGCATGTAAAATTTTCTTTGGTGAATATTTGTTGAAGAAAAAAGAACTATTAACTGGAGATTAAATTTGATACAGAAATTTGTATTTCAGTTTAGCTATTTTTCATTAATTCTTTTGGGGAAAGCCTCACTTTTTTAAACGTGAATATATATATATATATATATTTTTGCAATTTCTTGTAAAATGTAACCCATAAAAATGTAGAAACAATTTCAATTGAATTAATTAATATAGGCCCAATTCAAAGCTTCTGCCAAATATATCATGTTATGCATGTTCTATCAAAATCTGGATCCAATCCTAAAGCATATTAAAAATTTGGTAAATTACACGATTAATACTTAAACTATAAGTTTTAGTCCATTTTAGTACATAAACTTTCAATATTTTCAAAACCATACTTAAAGTTTGATCTTTGTTTCGTTTAAATACCTCATCGTTAAAAACTTTAGTTTTTGTTTCATTTTAGTATCCCTTAAAATTTAACGTTAAGTTTTGAAAAAGATTTAAAGTTTAAATACTAAAATGAACCAAAACTGATAGTTTAGGTACTAAACGTGTTAAATTTTTAACAGCGGGGCACTAAAATGAAATAAAAACTAAATGTTAGGTATTGTTTTGAGCAAATTAAAAGTTTCGGTATTAAAACGGATCAAAACTAGTAGTTTAGATATTAATATTATAAACCCTAAATCCAGTTTTAAAAACGAATAAATAAAACAATTTGACCAAAGTAAACCCCGAAGGGTCAGACAGAAGGAACGCAGTGAATCACGTTGTGCATGTTGTCCAGGTCAGCGCTACGTGATGTTATTAAAAGACTTGAGCCTATATATAGCCTTTAAACATAAAGCCAGAGAATTCAGAATATTAAAAAAACACACAACTAATTAACACTAATCGTCGTCCTTGTCGTGTGTCTCCTTTAAGAAATCAAGCGGGACTTTTAGCAGACAAAAAGAAGGATTTTTCCCGATCTCCAATACTAACGCTAATGCTCAATCCAGGGTTTCCAGCTCAGTTGAGTTGCCTCGTTTTTCGCCTTTTCTTTTGATTACCCTCGGCTATATATGTAGCTCGTAGGGTAGACCTGCAACACCTACTATATATTATTCGGCTCCATTTTCTCGTATCACAGGCAATATGGCTATAGCCATAACCTGTGTTTTTTGGTTACCAATATTGTTTTGTTTATACGATGTTAACATGTTTCAACAGATATTCTGCACTCTGCACTGTTTCATTGCCGTTGATTTGTTCAACCGTATACGTAACTAGAAGGACTTCGTAAGGTTAAAGTGCTTAATTTCGAAAATTTGAAGATTTAAACATTATTTGAATAAAAGAACGAGAGTTATGATTAGATTTATTTAATTTTAAAATGATAAGAATATGAAATATAATTAAATTAAATTTGAGGAGTTAAGACTTAATTATAAATATCTTTACATTAACAGGGACATAAAGACAATTAAATGAAAAAACTTGTGTTACAAGTATATGATAACGATAAAATATGATTTATTTAACCGTTGTAATTGATGAAAATCACATGTTTTCAGATAAAAATGATCGAATTTAATTATTTTGTATAGATGATATAAGATAAAATAATAATAATAATAATAATAATCAAGTTCATTACCGATACCCCATCGGATTCCTCTATGTTATTTAAATGGTTTTCCACTACAGTAAGGGTGACACCAGAGTGATAAGGGTCTCGACTCTTCCTTCGAAACACTAGTCATTAGTGGTTAATCAAATCATATATTAAACTCCCCTAATATAAAATCCAGGGTAAACTACACATTCCATACCTAAACTATCGGTTTTGGTCCATTTTAGTATCTAAACTTTCAAATTTTTTTAGAATCATACCTAAAGTTTAGTTTTTGTTTCATTTTAGTACTCACCCGTTAAAAACTTTAGTCTTGGTTTCATTTTAGCACTACGTTCAAAATTTAACATTAAGTTTTAAAAAAATTGAAAGTTTAGGTACTAAAACGGACAAAAACTGATATTTTATGTGCTAAATGCATTAAATTTTTAACGGTAGAATACTAAAATAAAAAAAAATTGAACTTTATGGTTTCTTCTCCACATTCCTAAACATAGCATGATCGCTTGGATGGCTATCTTGGACAGACTTCCTACTAAAGTCAGACTACAACATATGGGTATTGTTACAGATGGTTTATGTGTTTTATGTAATGAGTCTCAGGAAACAAGAGATCACATGTTCATAGAATGCCCACTTGCAAGCTCTCTATGGAAGGAAATCTTACTACTAACCGGCTTGCGGAGATCTTCATTGTCTTGGGATCAACTATTATCCTGGGCATCTGGCATTTGGACAGGTAACTCCCTCCGTGAAGCTTGCATGGACTGCATTTATTTATTCTCTTTGGGAAGAAAGAAACAAAAGGCTATTCAGAAGAAGCTGAAGAACAGTTTGATGAAATTTTTAAAGCTATTAAGAAGTTTGTTAGAATTCAACTAAGAGATAGGGTAATCAATAGAATAGATAGATTCAATATCTCTCTTTGTATTCAATGGGGTATTGACTAACCATATTACCATGTTGGTTGTTCATGCTCCACACAGGTTGTTTTGATGAATGTTCTGTAACTGTTTTGATGTCTGCACTGTAGCATTATACTGCTGTCATTGGGTAATAATATTCTTTTATTTATCCAAAAAAAATCAATATTTGTGAAAGTTATAACCCTATGTATATATATATATATAGCTATATGCCTAGCTTAGAGGTAGCTAGGGTTGATATATAGGCTCGTTTATTAAAATGCTGGTGAACAGTTGTCCATATTCTTGAAGAACATGGCAGTAGTTTACTGAGATTGGTCACCACATAAATTATAGCAAAAGATATGAATTAATTGACTTTACTTATGCATGCCTCATCAAAAGATCGAACCCTAAATTCCCATAATTTGTTTTTTGTCAAGTGGGTGCTTTAAGTTAGAATCTTTTGTACCATTTCTTCAATTATTTTTTAAGGGTATATCTTCCTTGGTTTTTAGGGCATAAATTCTTCTTTAATCACGTCCTTTCCCCCTTTTTTTTCACTTTCTCTATAAAGTTTGCATTTCATCTTACATGAAAGCATAAAGAACAAACGAATCAAAAAGCAATATATATATTACAAGTGGAGTTTTAAGGTCTTCATGTGTTTTATTTAAGTTTAAGGTTTGAATTTATATATTTTAAGATTTATAATTATTTAAATATATTATATGATATTAAAAAAAGTATGCTTGTACAATATTTTTCTCTCACTACATATGCATGAAATAGAATAAGTATCCACATATACATGTATATATTTTAAAATAACCTTATTGATGAATTAAATTATTTTAAAATAACGTCGAATTATTCATTTAAATTCCATTGAAATTATAAACACGATGTACTTCTCTTCTCTTCTCTTATCTTATTATTTTATTGATTTAGGTTTTTTTTACAAATTCTAAATATAATTCTAATCCGACCAAGAGGAGAGGAGAAGAAACACTCTAAAAGAAAGAAGGAGAGTGCTCATTGTAAGTCTATAACCCATGAGTCTTGATTTAAGAATATATGATAAGATAAAGATGAACATCTCGATCAACCAGTCAAATGTAGTGCTCTGAGTGTTTAACTTTTCTTGTTAAAGTATATCTCTAACTTTTATTCTGTTCTTATTCTTAGGTCGATATGTTATATTTATTGAAAAATTATTCTTAGGTGTCATAATTTTTTTCTCTTATTTGTTTTCCTATAAAATAAAAATAAGAAAGTGAAGTGGGAAAACGAGTCACGGAAGAAATGAATGAATGTCATACCGGATATTCATTGAAAAACAAGCATGAACCAAGTGACCTTAGTGGCAAAGAAATAATTGTTATTCTTTGAGATCTCGGGTTTGAACACCAAGAATGTTAGGGATGTGAGCATTCAATGTCAAATGTGAGCATTAAATGTCAAATGGTTGAGAGTTATTTAACGCGAGTACTAAAATGAAACAAACACAAAACTTTAAGTATGATTTTGAAAACATTAAACAGACCAAAATTAATAGTTTGCGTACTAAATGAGTAATTTATCCAAAAAAGATTAGACACCTAAAACAAAAAAGAGAATAAATTAAACACTTATTTTATAATTAAACCTATTATAAATTATCTTATTACACTTTTTGATTGTTTTGACGTTAATTAATTTATTCCCTTGGCATAACATATACATACATACATACATATAGAGTTTTTATTATCATATATTGACATTAATGTAATACAAAAATTAATTTAGTAGTGATTCCTCCATGATGTGGCTACAAGCTAGATGCCATGTGGTACCACCACATTCATACGCCTTTAATTTCTATATAATGGATAAGGTTCTCGCTAAACTGTGCTCACTCGATAATCTCTACAGACTACAGTTATGGCAAAGGTAGCTTCTGATCCGACTCCACTCACCGGAGGCAACAGCGGCGGTGGCAGTGGAAGGAGGCCACTTCCAGATTCAGGCCATGTTAACGGTGGCGATGGCGCTTACAGCTACACCAGAAACTCTTACTTTCAGGTCTATATATCTCTTTTTGCCTGCTAAAATTATGATAAACCTATCTTTGTTTAAAAGGTTGATGTAAAATTGATTAACATCTAATTTGCTCCCTAAACTAAGTTAAAGTATCAGTTTCATCCCTGTTTTTATTGAATATGGGTCTCAACATGGACAGAAATTTGCTGTAAATGTGGCTAAGGAAAGAATCGAGGGAGCAATAAGAATGAAGCTTGATGTGGAAAAATTGTCTTCTAGATCCAACATAATGTGCATAGCGGATTTGGGATGTGCTGTTGGTCCAAATACCTTCAACTCCATGCAAGATATCCTACACTTTATGCAACAAAAGTATAGTGTCCAATGCCCAAAATCCGACAAAACACTAAAATTCCTAGTGTTTTTCAACGACCAACCCTCCAACGATTTCAACACACTCTTCACCTCCCTCCCTCGGGAAGCACCCTACCTCGCGGCCGGCGTGCCGGGGTCGTTTCACGGCCGGTTATTCCCAGAATCGTCGATCCACCTTGCGCACTGCTCGTACGCTCTCCATTGGCTTTCCGGTGTACCGGAAGAGCTACGAGATGAAAATTCAAGTGCATGGAACAAAGGGAGGATACACTACACCAACGCTCCCGACGAGGTGGTCCGAGCTTACGCAGCTCGATTCGCCAAGGACATGGAGGATTTTTTGTGTGCGAGAGCGGAGGAGATCGTCGAAGGTGGCATGATGATGATCATCATGCCGGGTATTCCCAACGGAATGTCTTATGATGAAGTGGCTGCCAGTGTAATGTACGAGTTCATGGCGTCGAGCTTAATGGACATGGCCGATGAAGGGTTGATAAGTGAAGACGAAGTAGACTCGTTTAACTTGCCGATATATACTCCGTCACCGGAGGAGATGGCGGTGGCGGTGGAGAAAAATGGGCAGTTTAGCATGGAGATTTTGGAGTTAACTAACTCAGCGGCTCTGGTCGATGGCCGAGTTGATATAAAAGCTTGGGTCAGCCATGTTAGGGCAGCAAATGAGGGGATGTTCACCAAAAACTTCGCCGGTGATATTATCGATGAAATGTTCGATCGAGTGACCGAAAAACTCTTCATGTTTTCTAAACGATTGAATTCTCTGTACAAGGATCGAACTCAGCTTCTTGTTGTTTTAATCCGAAAATAGAAGGTATTGATATTTAGTAGCGTAAATGAATAAGTTTTTCGAACGAATAAAGTTATGTTTGTGTTGTTTGTTTATTTTTAAAGGTGTTCATATTCGATTAATGTTTGTTTAAATTTTTAATATTATGTTTGTGTATGTTTATTCTGTATTTGTTTAAAATTTAGTATCATATGAGGGGTTTATTTGTTTACTTTTGAAAGTGCCTATATTCGGTTTGTCTAGCATTTGCAAACATGTTTATTTAGCGTTCGTGAACATGTTTGTTTAACTTTCATAAACATGTTCGTTTAACATTCGTCAACATATTCATTTACGTTCGTAAACATGTTCATTTAACATTAATTCAATGTTCCGCAACCGACACTCTCCTTTTATCTTTTTATTTGCAAGCCAAAGAAAAATTATGAAATTACGCCACCAATTTTTAAGTTTCCTAACTTTATAGTTTGAATTCTAAAATTTATCCTATATTTAATTTAGTCCCCAACTTCATCAACGTTTAAAATGTAAAAAAAAAAAAAGGAAGAAGAGATCTAAGTAAACGAGTTTATAACAAGTTAATAAACAAATTTATTCGTGAATATAAACGAACCGAATACATCTCTATTCGTATTCATACATTTATTAAATGAACATAAAAATAAAATTTATACTTATTTATTTAATTTAACATACGAACATTTTCAAACGAAACATAAACAAACGGTTCACGAAGAATTTATTGAAAGTTATATTTATTTATAACCCTATTGACATTATTATTAGTGAAAAACATTGTGTTTAATTAATTTGATGCCAAATTTAATAATTTTAATTGCATCTCAATTATGTGCCAAAAAAATATGTCTCAATCAATATATATTGTGGTCCTTACTTCAAGATCCATATTAATATTTTATACACTTCCATAAATAAATAAAAATAAGAAAAACTTTTTTATTGAGTAATAAATTAAGTCGGTCCAAATTTAAAATATTTTCAGAAACCTAACCCCTGAATTTAATCTCTATCGTACTCTTTGATTGTAGTTTTATTGTTGGGACGTTATGTTAGGCTAAGCTTACGTAAATGGCATTAAATTAACATGTCTATGCCCATGTCTCTTTTAAAAAATTAAAGTAATGATCAATATATTTGCATGCACATAACTGTTGAAGTGATAGAATTAACGGTAAGCTACGTATTTTAGTACTTAAACTAGTATTTTGATCCATTTTAGATTTTAGATTTTAAATTTTTTTAAAATCATACCTAACATTTTTTTTCATTTTAGTACCCCATCGTTAAAAACCTAACTTGTTTAGTACATAAACTATAAATTTTGAGTACCTAAAATTTTAATTTTTTTCAAAACTTAATGATAAATTTTGAATGAGATAATAAAATGAAACATAAACTCAATTCTAAGTATGATTTTGAAAAAATTAAAAATTCAAGTACTAAAACGGATCAAAATTGATAGTTTAAATATTAAATACGTAACTTACCCTAGAATTAATAAACCCTGCACCATGGCTAAGAGGTCCTATTGACATCCCTGTATTAGTGAAACAATTAAGTGTTGTAATGGAGGTAATGTTGAACACACGTTTTTCCGGCGAGGTCATCGGTGAATTGTTCGATCAACTTGTCGTAAAATTATCAGAGATTTCTCTGGAATCGGGATCGTGTTACAGGGACGGACTTCATCTATTTACAGGGAACATGTAGATTCATAAGGGAACATATTATGCAACGTTCTTTCTCAATCATTACTACTGGATATTTAAAAAACATAGCATGCAGATTCATTAGGGAACATGATCTACCCAGATTCACATACTTAAGAAAACGGGAAACATTCGCCGAAACACCTCAATGCAAACGCAATTGGCGTCGAAACCGGCGTTCCAGCGATGACGACTCGAAAGCTCTCCGATTAGCCGACTTCTCTCGCTTGGTTTGGATCAGCTTGTCATAAACAAGCCAAGCAAAGCTCAGAAAATGATCCCTATTCATTCCCTCATTATACTGACCATAATAACTTGGATGATACGTAACATGGTACCAAGCTGAGGCTTTTGCATATGCATCATCTATTTCATCATCCGATCCGCTTCGCTTTTCGTTAAACCACGACCTGGCTTCCTTCCTCAATGACCTCACGGCCAAACCGATGGCTTCCGCATCTCTTTTCTTCGTGAAAGACCTCGACATTTTCATGATACCCCACCGAGTATTTCGGCCTCAGTTTGATCCCGTAATAGTCCATCAAATTCCCCAGTTTGTAATCGTAATTACTTTTGTAGAAGAAAGCATCATCAATGTAATCCTCGAAGCCATCGACTTCCACGTCGGGGTCATAAAACCTCTTCATTTTCTCCCGAGTTAAGGAATTGATCGAGCATTCATTAGGTGCAAGGCTTTTCACCTCTCGGAAAAGTTTTCCGATAACACTGTGTGATTGATAACTTGGTTTGTCAGGCTTCTCCATGAAATCCGGATATACCTTGACCCTCAATTCTTTGGTATTTCAGCTGGTACACCCGTTTTCGGAAAGTCAACTGCGATCGAGAACAGCTTTGCAAGATCCAGACACGGGCGACTCATTGCTTTGCCAGGTTCTCTATCGGCGAAAACAGTATGAGCATTTGAAATGATTCCTAAGCTGTCATTGACTATGTAGTTTGTGAAATATTCTTCAATTTCCTGCACCGAAACGTTACACAGCGATTATCAATAATCTCAAAATAAACCAAAACAACCAACAAGAACAGATTACATGGTACAAAAACAGATAAACTTCGACCAAAGAACAAACTTGTCTGATTTAGGGCCTTGGAACTCCGAAGTCATTCACAATTTGTTAATTCAGATTCTGATTGACTAATGCAGGATCCGACACGCAACGTTAAATGAAGAATGTCGTTAGCTGATAGACCGGGTGCCATGTATAGATCATTTAAATGAATGACAGCAAGAACTGAATACTTGAATACCTAGAAGAATAATACCTCAATGGTTACTTCATGATCCAATGTAGCACTTGGAGCCGGTGAGTAATCCATCGGCTTGATTTGCTTAGATGGAATCAAATCAGGGTCCCAACAGACAAAGTAGATATCACCATCCAGATCACTTCCAGAGCATTCATTCGGATGAGGTCTAAAATTTTTATTCAATTTTCAGTCAGTAAATCGCTATGACCATCTTGTTATCATGTGCAAATACATTGAAAAATACAGAGAGCTTCAATAAATTGTGCAGGATTTAACACAACATACAGAGGAATACAGGTATAGCAAATTAGTAATTCAGTAATACCCTCTCCTCAACCAAAATGTATGCAACTATGCCTAAATCATGAACTCGATGAATGTGCCTGAACAAAATCGTAATTGTTATAGAAGTCGTTTTCCGGTTAGCATATAACTCGATTGCATGCTTCTGAACCATACTTAGCCTTCTGAACCGCTAACACTATACTCAGCATTAGATGCTAATGCACACATGCATCCTGAATGTAAGAAAAATGTGGATACTTGGCTAAAAAGTCATGACGAACGAAGTAGGCTACAGAGCACATAAAACAAGTTCATCTAGAAATAGAGTTTTTGCAAACTATAACGAAGAAAGACCACTTTCTCACGGCATACAAGAACGTAGAGTAAGCCCTTGATGTACCTGCTTCCTTTCTGTGGAAAAACTACACAATCTACCATATGGTGCAGATCTGGCACGTCGATAGCCCTTAAGACACGCACGTCCCCAGGGTGCAAACAGGGGTTTTTTGCAACTACTACCTTACCTTTAACGATAAAACGCGTATTGGATCTAGAGCCAGAAAACTGCACAAACACTTGGCCATAATTCAATGTTCTAGTTTCGTCTAGACATCCCATCATGGACCTTCCCTTTTGAAGGAATATCCTGGCTTTAGTCCGCAAGTCCAACAACTTTGACGCCCGAAATGTTTGCAACATCATGGAAAGAAATGGCTCTTCATCGGGCTTATAACACAGGAGCATTTCCTTTAGGATGTTGGTATTTTCTCCCGGAGACATCAACTCCAAAGCCTTCTGAGCCTTTAAGGGATCTGTTAGGACGGCATTGAGTTCATCTACTACTTCTCTTTGTTTTATCTCAAAAGCACGATCTGGAACACCGAGAGTAGACAACAGCGTAATCAACTGGCGATTCAGGAAACATGGCTGAAACTTACTCCAAGCCAAAACATCGAGTTTTGTGTTCTCTGATTCATACTTTTCCATGCTCTTTCTGAGGGATAACTTCCAATTTGAGGTGGGGTCAACAGCCACAACACCTTTGAATCCGCCAATCCGAATCTGAAAGGCCGATGGAGTGGGACCATTCAAGTGGCATTTAGCAGCCACCTTCTTAGCAAACTCAGCTGATATTTTTCCAATTCCATCAGAAAAGACATACTTATTTCCACCCTTCATGATTTCTATATCTGGAATACGGTTGATTTCATCTTTCGCAACACTAAGGGTTTCGGTCGATGAACTGAAAGATTGGCCCAGTCTGGCAGCATATTTTGCCACATTTCTTATTTTACTAAAATCTCCCATCCATGACCTTATATCAGCAGCAGTGAGCCCCTTTCTCGAAGCGAACATCCAGGCAGAATTTTCGCGTAGTTGACTCGATGAAAAGGCAAGAAATTCAAATCTCTTGTCCCCAATAACTATCCCATTTTGAAGAGTAGAAAGAATCCTTTCATAAATATCAGTTCTCCTATCCTTTGCTTGCACATTTGTTGAATGGATCTTCTCCAACTCTTCATCAACAAAAGTGATGCGAAGAAAATTATCAATATCATTACGGAATTGGCGTAGCACGCGGTTAGAAACATTAATCTCAGGACCACAAAAGTAGACTCTAGAAGGTGTTATCTGAACCCTTCTTACATATACCAAGCCAGCATCTAAGGATATAGCAGGCGATACCGGATGTTTCTTAGAACTGGTGTAAGCTTTGTACTCCTTAAAGAGCCAACTCGAAGGTTCATAGCAGCATTCTTTTAGATGATAAAGTTTCTCCAGTGCATGGTCTATGAAGACTTTTTCAATTCTACGAGCATCAACCAATCGATAAAAATTATCATCAAGAGCTGGCCCTGGTATGCACCCATTCTGCACCAACAAATTAACCTTGAACAATATTTCAAATGGCAAGTTAACTACCTGCATGGGGCGTACAATTGGGACTAGAGTACGGTTACAGGAATAAGAAGAACCACTTTCAAAAACAAATCTGCCATCAGTTTCTTTGTAGTAAGCGAAGTTCTCCCGAAAATTTGGAAGTTGGAGGTTGCGAGGAAGCTTCAAACATAACACAGAAGACTGCCCGATACAGAACGATGGCGTGAAATCAGTTGTCCTTACCCATTGATCATCAGGCACATCCATGAAGTAGTTAAGCAAGGGATCATCACATACATGTCCAGAATAGTGCACTTCTTTCTCATATATCCGCGGAGCACCAAATAACTGAAAATTAAAAGGAAACCAAGAAGCATCATAACCTTTTTTTCATATATATAAGAGATAAAACTTTTAAGAAATTGTATTTTCTAGCATCAATAAAACAGCTCGAATTTCTTGCAATGAAAGGTTTGGCTCTGAATAGTCCATCAAGGACCTTGCATAAGCCAAGTTTCATAAGACAACAGTAATCCATCTATCAAGCAAGGTCAATTAATAAATCGAATACCGGAGACTTAAAAGTATAATCTAGGCTGCTCTGTAACTCCTCCCAGAACATATATATATATATATATATATATATTGATTTGCACAATTTATCAGTTTACAATTGCCAAAAAGTTCTACTGCCCTAGATCAACAGTAATGAAAACTCTAGAATTTCAATGGAAATGACAATGATGAATTCATATTCAAAGTTCAGTAGCAACCTGAATCAGAAGATAAGTAGAGGTTTGATTGAACGCACGATGCAGCTCAATCTGCCAGATGTTCTCATAGAAAAGCTCAAGCTTGTATGGTAAGCGATCATGTGACAACAGAAACTGAAATTTCCGCATTCCTAGACCGAAGTTCACTGTAACATCATCCGCATTCCAGAGAACATACATTTTCTCTTTCGAGACCCGACAGCCAAACCGCACTTTGACATGTTTCATCGTGTGCAAAAATGTTCTCGGCTCTGACACGATATTTTTGTCCATTTCCCAAGCCCTAAGATATGAATCCCCGTGGTATAGCCTTAGATCAGCCAACCTTAGGATCAGTTTTGCATAAGCACGTTTGGTAAATTGCACAACAGCATATGCTCTTCCACCCTTCTTTTGCTGCCTTATCTTAAGGGCATAAACAGTTCCTTTGCCTGTATATCTCTCTAAAAATTTCCTTACTTCTTCTACGGACACGTCTGAAAGAAACCCAGAAACTTTAATTGTCTTGCTCTTACCCATAGTCTCAATTCACTCGATGCTCTTACCACTTCAAAACATACAATTAACTGCAAAAAACAGATACCAATACATAAATAAATACTGTAAAATGCACCAACATAGGAGACAAATTAACTAGCCGTTCAGTGAAACCAATCACACTTTCAAAAAGAAAAAGCAAAAGAAGCAACAAGAATTCTATGTTTGTTAACTTATGTTATCCAAAGTTTACATTTCTTTTAACAACATTATTAAGAAAACAAAGAAAGAGCTGTTACCAGAGAGGAGGAGAGAGTTCAGATAACATAAATAAACCCAAACTCCATTGATCAATTGGAGAGTAAATAAAGACTCCAACTTTACTTTGCTTGCTTGGAATCTTTGATCGTCAACTCTTTTAGTCAATACATATAGTTATAAACAGCCATGGAAGGAAAGACCAAGTGACGAAGACAAAGGCCTTGATTTTTCAACATCATGTCATATATTTGTAATTTTCCTTTGCTTTTCTCGGAGCTAATAGCCAATAGGTCTTCGACACGCGAAATAATTTCGCTGTTGCTCGTACGGCCTAGCTTTTCTGAAACTTGGTAACGAAGGAGTTTGTGGGACTCACTGTGCTCAATCTTAGTAAAAGATATATATCACCGGTTTGGCATTATCCCCGGTGATGGTGATGAAGATGACCATAATAACAAGGCTTAAAGGAATATTTATCTTTTAAAAGTATATCTTATTTATCGAATTCTTTTTCTTTTTGAAAAAAATGTATCCTTTAATTAAAAAAATCGTTCTCTTTTTTTAAACACGTAGAAGAAAACCGACAAATAATTTGAAGACTAATGATGCTAAATTATTATGATTTGATTTTTAAGGTGGTTTTAAAGTTCTTAACTTCTGTCGGATGTCGGACATTGATACTACGAAAACCAAAGAATCATAGCAACATGCATAACGAATCAGCCTTCATGAAACATGTCGAAGCGCCTCGGGTTCTCTCGTCAAGTCTTACCGGCTCTCGAGCTTGGGACATGTGAATCAGGCGTCCCGAGCCAATCATCGGCCGGTTATATCGACGAAGTTCGAAGGAACAAGATTATACAAAGATAATAAAAGCCCGCATTTGAAGACCGAATTAAACAAACTGAACACCACTCAAGTTCAAAACAAATCGCCTGAAATCTATTACGGTGATTCGCACTGTTGTTGATTTCCAGGATCTGCAAGTTTCAATTATACATCCCATATTTTTATTACAATATTTTATCAAAATTTAAAAGAAAAGGGTTAATTTTATCAAACATATTCAAATCATGGTTTATTAATATTTCAATTTGAAAATATTATGATCGAGTCATTAGATTATTAATATTGTATCGACTAATTATTTGTCAAATTAATAATTAGTTTAGATATTATTTTATATTCACTTCAAATTTATTAAAAAGTATATAAGATTGAAAATAATCAATATCTATTATTTTTAGATAATATATAAAAATTGATACTCAAAACACGATGATAAGATGTATATCATGATTGATTTGAAATCTATTATAAGAGAATGAAAACTTAAAATCAAAAAAGAAATATATGTTTTTTTTTTGTTGCTCTTCTGATTCTAAGGTTTGTATTTGATTGATCTGAACTGATCCACATAACACACTTTGCTTTGGTGGATGAATATTATCGTAGGGATATTCTGCATACACGATGACTTAAACTCGAGAACTTGTTTAAGCGATATCAAACTACTTACCACTTAAACCGACTCATGTTGGTAAAAAAAATGGAGATACTAATTTATTGTTAGATTGACCTGAAAGACCTAATTAATTTGATGATAATACTTTTAATGATTAAATCAGAATGTTTTGAAGTTTGATACTAATTTATAATATGGATTATAATTTGAGCATGTTTGAGGAAATTAAACCAGAAAAATCCAAACTTTTTTCATTTTTGTTAAATTACTCCATTGCTTCGCATTGCAGAGCTTCACTTTCTATGGGTAGAGGTCTCTAAGGTAATCTCCAAAGGAAAGAACCCCATTCCCAGAAATTTATAAGCGAGAAGGAAAAAGGCATAACCAATTAGTGTTTCGTCGGAAAGTTGGCCACAAAAAGGTAACTTCCCTCCCTCTTCATCCCCTCTCTTTCTTCGTGTCGTTTTTGACCTTAGGTTCTTCTTTATTGGATTCAAATTGATGGGATTTCTTTTGTTTTTAGGATTTGATTTGGGGTTGAGTTTCCGGGATTGATATGACATTTTTCTTTTTGGTAATTTGTCCTTGTATGCGAGTGCTTCAATTGTAGGGCTTTGTTTAGCTGAAATGAGCAAAAATAAAAAACAGTTTGATACCCTTTTGAAAGAAGTTGACAGTGTATGATGATGAGAAGGAAATAAGTTTTTCTATCTTTTTGTCCCTTTTTTTTCACTCACATTCAAATTTAGTTTGGATTTCTGGGTAAAGTGGATTATTGAGTTGTGTGGAAAATTAGGAAAACAACTGACAACAGGATCGAATTATGTGTTCCATCATGAAGAAGATTTAGCTTCCATTATGAACCGGCAAGCTTTACCGTTCCAATCAGCACGCTTTTAGCAGTAGTTCCGACATGATTCCGATGATGGACGGTTACTTTGCGACACCATCCATGTTCTTGCCGGGGAATTCCAGTATTATTACCACCTCTCCTGCCTTAATCCAACCGGGAAACTCTTCCCTTCCTTCCTTCTAGATTCTGTTGCAGGGCTCAAGCATGATACAGGGTTGGCCGCCGAGTGGTCTGCTGACGAACAATATATACTGGAGGATGGCCTTGAAAAGTATGTTTTGTAATTGTTGCTTCTTGCTTTTTATTCAGAGCTTTTGGAGGTGTATTCGGCTGCTTATTGTATATGATTGCGTTAGAAACCTGAACCATTAATATGAGTAGGTAGTTCAATTTTTTCCACAGTTAATATAAAGTAAAAGATCCCCTTGTTGTGTTATTAGGATTGCTGTGTGTTTTTGCAATTGATTTTTATGATAGAACTATTTCCAAAGAGGTACTTATTAGGCATGACTTGTATTTGAGCTTAAGATTTAAGTGCTGATTTAAATTTTTCCATATACATGTATATAGATATAAAGAGGAGCCGAATATTTTGAAGTACATAAAGATTGCAGCTACTTTGCGTGATAAAACCGTGCGTGACGTTGCTTTGAGGTGTCGGTGGATGCAAGTACACTACCTTCTTTTTTGATGAATTTCTCACATCGTTTGTACTAAGTTTTATTGTCTTGTATCATGCGATATATGCTCTCATTCTAAGTCTGCCTATGGAAAATTGGTTTATAAGACTTGGTGTTTATATGGTGGTGGAAACTGGAAATGTTCAATTAGTGAAACTTGTTGCGGATTATCTATACTAGAGAACTTGGACCAAAATGTATCTCCTTAACCAATTATTTTATACTTTTTGGAAATTGGCAGAGAAAGCGAAGGAAGCCTGAAGAACATAATTTGGGGAAAAAGGTGAATCATAGAAAGGTATGCTGATGATTTTTTGTAATTTTGTGAAATAGTTATTGATTTCTTAGATTTCTTAAAGCACATAGAATCCGGATGATGGAATATAAAATTTAAGGCTTGAATTTAGCAAGGAACAGCAATTTCCGACTTTTCATTTTTCAAGTTGAATTATGTTTTTTCTTGATTTTCTATGTTCTTATTTCATGTCATATCACAAACATAGTTGTTGACGATGGCTAAAAATTATCAGTAAATAAATTTGATGTATCTCAATTGCTAAATTGAATGCCGTTATCGGGTTTCCTGAAAACAACCAATGTTTTTATGATATAATGCGATCGAAGAACCCATATTCTAAAGATCATACTTCTTCAGGATAAGTTGGTGGAATCATCTTCTAAGATGAATATGCCTTCATCTCTGCCACAAACCATGGCTGCATATCCTCTGATGATGCACCACCTGGACTAGAATGAGAGAATGCCTTCTGAAGGTTTGTATTCTATGTCAACACATAGAAGTATCCTTCTTTCGGTTGTGATAACTTTTAATTAGTGTCTTTCTAAAATAGAGATTGATCTTTCTTTTATGAGGTCAAAGAATGGATCTATGCTTGCATCAGTCAAGTAGTTGAACATACTCTGAATATCAGCAAAATAATAGCACAACCTAAACACCTGTGGCATTTAACTATAAAGCTAAAGAGTTTATTCAACTGTAGTTTACGTATATAAATTCTATTCTGATGGTTAAGTACGTCCAACTTTCTCTATTGCAATTTGCATCATTAAAGTAAATTTCTTCTAATTTGGGCTTTATACACCATTGTCCATTTTCCTTGAAATTATTGAACTAATGCTGTTTATTTATTTCCTTCACTTTATATGTTATTCTTTCCTTCCCCTCTTTGTATGTGGTGAGATTTTAGGGTTTAATCCACAAATTATGCCTGCTCGTGCTATAATGTCAGCAGTAGGATTTTGATTTCCCTGTAGTGGCTTGCGGTTAAATGTATTTTTTTAATGTTTAATCTGCTTGTTTGTTGTGTGTTCTTAGGGATATTTGGTACAACTATGCATCTTTTGAAGCAAAATGCTCAAACTTTTAGCCAAATCACATCCAATCTTTCTGCATACAAGGTATCATTCCCGAGCTTTTGTCATTTCTTTGGTCGTTGATATGCAATCATAAATTAAAGAATAATTGTTAATGCGATGAGTTTTATGCCTTTTGGTTTGTGCTACTTTTTTAATCTGCAAGTCACGTTAGCATTTGCTGTAAAGTTTAGGTGGTTAACTAAGGGAAAAATATTTATAACCGATATAAAGTGGCATATAACTTGTTTGTGATTTCAACCAATCCTTTTTTTCATTGCAGGACATAGCAACAATCTGTGGCCTGTGTGTCTCTAGTTATACTTTTATTATTCTGTGCTCCTTTCACTTCTGAGTGCAAACCCTATTTGACAAGAAATAAGAAATGTATTTCTGCATCCATGCTAACCATTGCATGTTATTGCAAATGGACCTCGTCTTCCGAAGGAGGTGTAATGGATTCTATTTATGCTTCTTTTCCAAAGTTCTCTTTAAATCTCGTATATGATTGCTTGCCCTCATCATGTATTATTCTTGTTATCAGTATTTCGAGGTTGGTTTATTGAATAAGGCTTTTATAAACAGTTACAGGATAACATCGATCTCTTTTGTTACACGAGGAACAATATTACCTCCATGCTAAACAAGTGCGTTGATTTTCTTTATAATTGTCGTGTGTTGTTTAATGTGCTTTGGCAAGCATTTTGATTATTCATTGTGTTTGCTGTCGCCTACGTGTTGGATTATTAATTTTCAGCTCTGACTTCTTACAGCATGAGAGATACACCAGGTTTAATGAGCCATTGGCCACCATTGCCCGTATCTATCAATGAGGATTTAGCAAATAGCATCTTGCCTGGAGCAACTTGTTGAAAAATCAAACCACATGAGCTGCTAAGCAGCCGGTGGCTATGAAAAAAAATTTATTAAAAGCCAATTTTGTTGATTTTTTATATGGTCAAATTAAAAACTTTAGTCATTTAAACTTTGGTTTATTTACAAGATTAAGTCCTTAAGATTTAGCTATAAATACCCTATTTCATTTGGCTTCAAAACCATCTCAAAGCATTCTAGCTTTCTTCCAATACTAGAGAGAATTTAGCGAGTTTGTTTTCTCCTTTTTATCAAGAGAGAATTATCATTGTTTTTTCCTTGGTAGATCGAGAGAAGTTGTAATTCCTATTTTCTCATAGTGAAATTCTTCTATCGTTGCCTGTGGTTTTTTACCCTATATTATTTACGGGTTTTTCACGTAAATTTTGTGTATCTTTTTCTCTATTTTTTATTTTTTTAAATTATCAGTTGCGATTTTGCTCTATCCGATAGTCGTCTTCCGCAACAATTGGTATTAGAGGTAGATTAGAGTGTGTAATATCTGCTTATTATCTTTGTAGTTGCCACCAAAAGGTAGATCCTCCAAGATAAGAAAATAAGAAGTTATTACTCATTCTTTGAAGGTTCCAGAGAACTATTAACGATAGTGAAATAGTGGGAGCTATCCGTAAAAGAAGTTATGGCAACGAAATTTGATATTGAAAAATTCAATGGGAGAAATTTCTCATTGTGAAAATTGAAGATGAATGCCATCTTGAGGAAAGACGGTTGTCTAATAGCTATCAGTGAAAGGCTGGTGGATTTCACAGATGACAACAAATGGATCGAAATGGACGAAAATGCTATGGCAAACTTTCATCTAACATTAGCAGATGAAGTATTGTCAAGCATCGAGGAGAAGAAGACAGCTAAGGAGATATGAGATCATCTCACCAAATTGTACGATGTCACATCGTTGCACAATAAAATTTTTTTTAAGAGGAAATTGTACACTCTCCGGATGTCGGAATCTACTTCAGTGACGGAGCACTTAAACACACTGAACACGTTATTTTCTCAACTTACATCCTTAAGATGTACAATAGGAGAACAAGAACGTGTTGAACTTCTACTTCAAAGTCTACCTGATTCGTATGATCAACTCATCATCAACTTGACAAACAATAATGTCACCAGTCTAGTCTTCGATGACGTTGCAACTGCTGTTCTACAAGAAGAAAATCGGCGCAAGAACAAGGAAGATAGACAAGTAAATCTGCAACAAGCAGAAGCGTTGACAACGATGAGAGGGAGATCAACAGAAAGTGACCATAGCAGCAGTCACAAATATGGTAGATCGAAGTCGAGGAGCAAGAAGAACTTAAAGTGTTACAACTGTGGAAAGAAGGGTCACTTGAAGAAGGATTGTTGGAGTCTAAATAAAAACTCCAATCCACAAGGCAATACCGCAAACACTTCAGATGATGGAGATGCTCTATGCTGTGAAGCATCAACCACCGTGGAAGGCAGAAAAAGATCTGCAGATATATGGCTCATTGATTCAGGAGCAACATATCACATGACCTCAAGAAGAGAATGGTTTCATCAGTATGAACCTGTCTCAGGAGGATCTGTGTATAGTTACAATGATCATGCCTTCGAGATCATTGGCGTGAGAATCATCAAATTGAAGATGTATGATGGAACAATTAAAGTTGTTCGAGATGCGCGGCATGTGACAGGCCTGAAGAAAATTTTAGTATCCTACGGATTGTTGGATAATAATGCAAGCAAGATTGAGACACGGAAAGGAATCATGAAGGTGTTCCGTGGAGCGCTTGTGGTGCTGAAAGGCGAAAAGATAGCAGTAAACTTGTACATGTTGAAGGGAGAGACTTTGCTAGAAGCAGAAGCATCTGTTGCCTCATGTAGTTCAGATTCTGCAATGCTATGGCATCAGAAACTTGGACACATGTCAAAACAAGGAATGCAAGTTCTTGTGGAGCAAAAGCTACTTCTAGGCTTAACAAAGGTATCACTTACTTTGTGTGAGCATTGCATAACAAGTAAGCAGCACCAGTTGAAATTCAACACATCAAATTCTAGAGGCAAAAATGTTCTAGAATTAGTTCATTCTGACGTATGGTAAGCACCAGTTACATCCCTAGGCGGAGCAAAATACTTTGTCTCATTTATTGATGACTACTCCAGGAGATGTTGGGTGTACCCTATTAAGAAGAAGTCAGATGTGTTTTCAACTTTCAAAAACTTCAAGGCGTGGGTGGAACTTGATTCTGGAAATAAGATCAAGTGTTTCAAAATAGATAATGGAGGAGAATACACAAGCGAAGAATTTGATGACTTTTACAGGAAAGAAAACATCAAAAGACAGTTCACAGTGGCGAACACTCCTCAACAAAATGGAGTGGCAGAGTGGATGAACAAAATCTTGTTAGAAAGAACAAGAGCAATGTTGAGGGATGCAGGCCTAGAAAAATCATTCTAGGCAGAAGCAGTCAATACCGCCTGTTATTTGGTGAATCGAGCTCCATCAACTGCAATAGAGCTGAAGACACTAATGGAGATGTGGATGGTAAACCAGCTGATTATTCAAACCTCCATATATTTGGAAGTATTGTGTACGTGATGTACAACTCCCAAGAAATCTCAAAGCTGGATCCAAAATCTAGGAAATGTAAATTCTTGGGGTATGCTGATGGAGTCAAGGGGTATTGCTTGTGGGATCCCACTGCCCGCAAAGTGATCATCAGCAGGAATGTTATCTTTGTAGAGGATAAACTACAAAGAAAAGAAGACGATGATAGCACTGAAAAGTCAGAGACTACACAAATAAATGTGGAAAAGGAGTTTGAACAAGGAGATTATTCTGAAGCAGAACCAACACATGATGAACAAGAACCAGAGAGTTCTGTAGCTCCAACAACTAGTCAATCAGATCGTGTGAGAAGACGTCCCAATTGGCACTCAGATTATGTTATAGAATGAAATATTGCATACTACATTTTAACAGAGGACAGTGAGCCATCAACATACGAGGAGGCAATAAACAACTCAGATGCTTCACTGTGGATGATGGCGTTGTAAGAAGAAATTGAAGCCCTTCATAAAAATAATACATGGGACCTTGTGCCACTACCACAAGGAAGGAAGCCAATTGGTAACAAATGGGTCTTCAAAATCAAGCGAAATGGTGACGATCAAGTTGAGATGTATCGTGCAAGACTGGTGGTCAAAGGATATGCTCAAAAAGAAGGTATTGATTTCAATGAAATATTTTCTCCTGTGGTTCGACTAACAACAGTTCGAGTAGTTTTGGCAATGTGTGCTACATTGAACTTACATCTAGAGCAGCTAGATGTTAAAACAGCTTTTCTTCATGAAAATCTTGAAGAAGAGATTTACATGCTCCAGCCTGAAGGTTTTGAAGAAAAAGAAAAGAAGAACTTAGTTTGTAGGTTGAACAAATCTCTGTACGGTCTAAAGCAAGCGCCGAGGTGTTGGTATAAGAGATTTGATTCCTTCATTATGTGCCTTAGATATAACAGACTTAATACATACCCTTGTGCTTATTTCAAGAGGTCCGGTGATAACAATTTTGTTATATTGTTGTTGTATGTGGATGATATGTTGGTTGCAGGACTCAACAAATATCATATTGAAGAATTGAATGCACAACTGGCTAGGGAATTTGAAATGAAGGAATTGGGATCAACAAATAAGATTCTAGGGATGCAAATTCACCGAGACAGAAGTAATAGGAAGATTTGGCTTTCACAAAAGAATTACTTGAAGAAGATCTTGTCACGATTCAACATGCAAGATTGTAAGCCAATTTTTACTCCTCTTCCTATTAACTTCAAATTATCCTCCAATATGAGTCCTAGCAGTGAAAAAGAGAGGATGGATATGTCTCGAGTACCGTATGCATCAGTAGTGGGAAGTTTAATGTTCGCTATGATATGCACAAGACCAAACATTGCACAAGCAGTGAGAGTGGTTAGTTGGTACATGGCGAATCCAGGCAAAGAGCATTGGAATACATTAAAGAAGATCTTGAGATATATCAAAAGGACCTCAAATGTTGCATTATATTACGGAGGATCAAACTTACTAATCAATGGGTATGTAGATTCTGACTATGCAGGAGATTTAGATAAAAGCAAATCTACTACAGGATATGTGTTCAAAATTGCTGGTGGAGTTGTAAGCTGGGTTTCAAAATTGCAGTCAGTTGTAGCTACATCCACAACAGAGACAGAATATGTAGCAGCTACACAAGCCAGTAAAGAAGCAATTTGGTTGAAGATGTTATTGGAGGAGCTTGGGAACAATCAAGAGTATGTCTCTCTGTTTTGTGATAGTCAAAGCGCCTTGCATCTAGCAAGGAATCCATCATTTCATTCAAGGACAAAGCACATACGAGTTCAGTACCATTTCATTCGTGAAAAGGTGGAAGAAGGGACAATAGATATGCAAAAAATCCATACCAAAGACAACATAGCAGATTTTATGACAAAAGCAATCAACGCTGATAAATTTACCTGGTGTCGATCCTCTTGTGGCCTATCAGAGACGTAAGCAACATGATGGTACAAGGTAGAAAGAATGGTGTGAAGATATGATTGTTCCAATCAAATCTTCAAGTGGGAGATTGTTGAAAAATCAAACCACATGGGCTGCTAAGCAGCCGGTGGCTTTGAAAAAAAAATTATTAAAAGCCAATTTTGTTAATTTTTTATATGGTCAAATTACAAACTTTAGTCATTAAACTTTAGTGTATTTACAAGATTAAGTTCTTAAGATTTAGCTATAAATACCCTATCTCATTTGGCTTCAAAATCATCCCAAAACATTCTAGTTTTCTTCAAATACTATAGAGAATTTAGAGAGTTTCTTGAGAGTTGTTTTCTCCTTTTTATCAAGAGAGAATTATCATTGTTTTCTCCTTGGTATATCGAGAGAGATTGTAATTCCTATTTTCTCATAGTGAAATTTTTCTGCCGTTGCCTGTGATTTTTTACCCTATATTATTTAGGAGTTTTCCACGTAAATTTTCTCTTTTTCTCTATTTTTTATTTTCTCAAATTATCAGTTGCGATTTGCTCTATCTGATAGTCTTCTTCCGCAAGACAACTAATGCCTTGCCTCATGTAGGTTCGCATTAAATTGATTTAGTTGCATGTACTGGGATTGACGCCCAAAAGGCAGAATCATATAGAACAACAGAAGTCAAAGAAATGTGTTCGATTAACGGAACCTGTCATTACATTTATTTAATTGAGGTTCCATGCCAAGCCTATTTTATGCCAGTTGCAAGTGTAACCTTTCTGGGTTGATCTGAGTAATCTCTATTGGTCTTACACAAGCTGCTCGAGCACTTGCTGACTCCGGTATTCTTGTATTACACCGTTGATGAATTCCAGCTCTGTGTCACGGGGCTAGACTAAGTTTAGTCTGCATGTAGCATTTTTGCTTGTTATGTTACATCAACCGAGTACTGAACTTTATCATGGAATCCTGCTGCTCTTGAGATGAAAAGAGCAGAGTCTGGGATTGAATTTACATCTCGATATCAACCCCATATTCCGTTATACTATCAACTAATGTCGATCTAATGGAAGGAAATAAGTTGTCCCACAAGGCAATAGATTGGATTTATCAATGATTACTTATTTTGATCAACTTAATCGTTATGTTGCATACATGTGTTACCATGGTTTGTTTTTCCTCGTGTACCCAGACGATGATTTTTGGCTGGCCAAACGAGTCCATCTCAAGCAGGAACCAAGGTGATGATATGGAAATTGTCGAGATCGAGATTGGATATAACCGGTTCGTGTAATTACAAAAAAGAAAATGACTGTAAATTTCAGTGTCAAAAAATATAATGTATTAAGTTCAGTGAGAAAATTGAAAATTTTTAAAGTTCACACTGCAATATTAAAAACATAATTAAGATAAATTATACACCTCAATTAAATTAAGTTTCGGACTTTTTTTTTTGGTTTACAATATATTCATTATATGGAGATTACTTGAATACCTTGAAGGTACTATATACACACACAAAAATCTGCCTACCAATGCATATTGATTTGAATTATGCACGTGAATTGATTGTTTTTTTCATCAAACAATTAAGGGTAAAGTACATAAATGGTCCTCTGATTATAGGATATTATTTTATTGAGATTTTTTAACTATTAAAAGTTACAAAATGATCATTTGACTATATGGAGTTGCTTTGTAGAGTCTCTTGTCTATTAAAAGTTACAAAACAGTCGCCCCGACTATTCATTATGTTCCAAACTCGTCATTTTTAATTAAAATTTTGATGACAAATTGAGTTGTACATTAACCTACTGACTTGGATATGATAAAATTGGATCTCATAATCTCAAACGACTATCATATCTTAGTCAGCATGTTAACGTCCAGCTCAGGCGACCGTTAAATTTTTAATAGAAAATGATGAGTTTGGAACATAATGAATAGTCAAGTAACCATTTTGTAATTTTTAATAGTCGAGGGACTCAATAGAGCAACTCTCTATAATTGAGGATCATTTTGTAATTTTTAATAGTTAAAAAACTCAATAAGTAGTCTTTTAGGGACCATTTGTGTATTTTACCCAAAAATTAATTACATGTGATGATTTAAGTCACAAATTACCAGACCAATCGTAATCCTGATAGATGATGGTGATAAGGCCTTTACCCACCAGAAGATTCTTCAAAAGCTGGGCGTTCCTTCCATCCAGGTAATTCAGCACCCACTCCAAGATTTGCCTCTCATTTTCTCCAAAATCTGCGCTGAACCTGTTCGACAAAATGCCCACGTCAATTTCAGTCTCATCGCTGAATTATATATACTTAAGGATTCAATTTATCGAAGAAAGAAATCTCACCACTTGATGATTCGAGTTAAGTAAACAGTTCTTAGTTCCCAATCGATCTCTATCCCTTCATTCTGAAAGAACTCCATTGCTGCAGTTTTGAGCTCTTCTTGTACATTCTGGGCAGTGAAAAACCTTAGCTTCGGGCTTGATCTTGTTCCCTTGCATAATCCGAAATGAATCAATGGATTCAATTTCATTGGAACCAGCTGTCAAATTTAAAATGAAAATTCAAAAAAAAAGTCGAACCTTTTATGAAGTGAAAATTTTAGGTCAAATTATAGTTTTCGTCCCTACTATGTTTAATTTGATTTAGTCCCTATATTTTAATGTGATATAATTTGGTCATTCTACTTTGTTAGTGTTATGTTCGGGTCTATAACACAAACATTGTTAAAAATGCAAAAGATAGTTAAAATAACTAATTTTTAATTTGAAATCTTTGGTGTCCAATAATCATATTGGATCCCTACTGTATTTGAAACTAAATTAGATCAGTTTCTAAATGGAGGATAGACTTTCACTATTTTAGACAAGGTAAGTCTTGTTCTTCAAATTTTGTGTTTAAATTCTTAATAAACTCTTGTAATTTTGAAATCTAGTAATTTACTTAATATTTAATCTTGATTCTGTCTCTAAATGACATCGAGAATTATTTATCACTTGATCCAACATGTTTTTACCTTTTAGATGATAAAAATTTCAAGTGTAGTATAGGTACGAAAATAGTTGACCTAAACTTTCAGGAAAGAAAATTGAATATGTGGAATTAGGGTTTACATGCAGATGTCGATCTCCTTTATTAAAAGGTTTGGCCAAGGAATAAGAAGATTTTCGATTGTTTCTCAAGACCCCATTCTCTATGATACTGAGGGAATAAGGGTATCCTCCAAGTACATATTGGAAATCCAAGAAAAAAGCTTTGTTATCGAGTATTCCTTCAGGGTGTCCAATGCTAATTACAGCATGGATCACCATTGCATTGTATAAGTTCAAGAAAAAGGCTAAGCTCTCATCTGGAGTGAATAATTTAAGATTGATCCTTTGCATATCTCGAGCCAATTTAATGTACCTGCTTCAACAATAACAACAACAAAAAACGAAAACTCAAATTCAGATGATTTGATTTATGCAGTTACTATTGAAAGATAATTTAATAATTTTAATCTAAAATATTTTTTAATTCTCAAATTGAGATGCACTTAAAGAGTGTTTAAGTTAAAATATGTAAATTAACTAGTGATAATTTTAGTATTTTGGACCAAAATGATAACTTTTCAAACATATATTTAAAATGTTCATTTACGTCCATTTTCAACATTTAACACTTGAGTTCAAACAACATGACCTGCGGAATTCTTCACTTCTGCTGATGGCGAGATAATCGACATGGAGTCTGTTATCGGATACATAACCATCCATTTCCACAATGGCCAACATTAGCTTGGAAAGGCTATCGGCTATAAACGATGCTGCCTTTGGTTCATTATCATTTGTTAATGTTCGAAAATTGAAGCATCCCATAACAAATGGCTCATGTTCAAGGAAACGATAATAATGATTCCCTTTTTCAAAATCATTTTCCCTGCATAAAAAATAAAATTATTAATTTTGAGTGTTAGGAAATTAGCATTATATTATTATATTTTATTTTGAAAATTATTTTATATACATATAAGAATAGTTGTGGGACCTGGATCCGACAGATTCCGACCTCATTCGATAGGATTTTATTCATTAAAAAGTTTGAATTTAAGTAATGGCGGAACTTGGTGATGCAACCTTCGAGGACCAACTTAAAACATTAAGAGGTTTAAATTAAATTTTTTAATTTTTTTTGAAAGGTTCTATTTATATTTTTTTTCAAAAATATTAGGGTGTAACTAATTTTTTATGAAATTTTAAGAAGCTTAATGAGAATTTTTAAAAATTATGAGAGGGATTTAATTAAGAATATTCAAAATTTTTGAAGATTAATCTAAATTTCTAAAAATTGGTGAGGGACAAATTATTTTTTAAATTTTTTTAAATGTTTAAATCATAATTTTTCAAATTTTAAGGGACCTTAGCCTTCATTAGTTTCCATTGTGTTAAGCTGAAGGCGGCTCAAATTTTTAAAGAATAAGATTGAGTTTTATTCATTGTTCCAAGTCGGTGGTGTTCGAGTCCAAAATCTCTAAAGATAATAATTACTCCTTTAATCATTTAGATTTAATCATTTAGAATTAATCATTTAGATTGTTTGATTCGAGCCTATGATTTAATATTTAGAGTTTAGAATGTTACTAACCCGAAGACATGGTGGATGAAGTGCTTCTGGGCCATCATCTTCGCAGTTGCAATGCCCTACAAGATCTCGATAGATTATCGATTTCCAATTTAATCGATGTTACAATTAGTTGTTTTAGAAATCGACTGAATTGAGATTCAGAGTTTGATATACCTTTCTTCTGCCGCAGTCAAGGTGGTTAAGAATGGCTTCCACCGCATCAGTACCAGCAAAGCAATTCTTAACCATTTTCATCTTAATCAGACGGTCCTGAATCTGCAGACTCCGTCTGAGATGATTCACTAATTCAAGCAATTCATCTTCTTCGTCTTCATCGTCGTTAATTCCGTACTCCGGTGCTTTCGGTGCTTCTTCGGGACATCTCGGACCCAACAGTTCGATCATTTTCTCTTCCAACTCCCCGTTCTGACTCCACGATTTCAGTGTCCCCAATCCGCCTATCAAGCGATCGTTGAAGAATATCTTCGGCACCTCCGCGTCTCCCGTTCGCTCGACCAACTCCTCGGCCTTTTTGGTGAACACGTCGATGTTTATTTCGACGTACCGATGCCTTCTCTCTTTGAAGAATTTACGAGCGGCGATGCAGTTTTCGCAGTTGGACTTCGTGAACATCGTTATTCGACCCCGGATCCGATCTTCGAGTCGGTGCCTTTCGCTTTTCAGCTGCACTATGACTTTCACGCCGGGGATTTTGAACTCTGTGATCTCGAAGTTTACCGAATCGTTTTTCACCTGGATATCACCGGTGCCTTCTTTCAACGACGACAAACTATTCATGATCGCCGCCGAAAAACTGGTGCTCCGTTCCCTAATGAATTTCCCTATCTCAGGCATGCTTTCGGCGATCGATAACGACTTTGATCGCTGCACTTTAGGCTTCGGTGGCTCCGGTCTCGGGAAATGAGTTTGAGCTTTGATGACCAGTATGTATTGATTATGGCCACTTCCATTGTCATTTCTTTGATCATTAACCTCCTTATCTACTTCGGAATCTAGGGTTTTATTAACTTCGGAATTCAAATCTTCTTTCCGGCCATCTTGACCTTCCGCTACGGCGGTTGTATCCACCCCACCGTCGGGAATATTCTTCTGATCACCGTCATCGGCTTTGTATCGCTCTGAGTATATATCTATTGGATTCATTTTTCTGAAAGGAAATTATAAAACGAAGATGGAACAACTTTATTTTATATGTATAAAGAAAAGAGATTTTAGCGAAGAGAAGCATAGCGATTAAAACGGCGAGATTTAATGGGAGAGAAAATATAGATAACGAGAAAATTTTGCAAAGTACCACAAAATTAAATTTTTATTTTTTTTAGAAAATAGAAAAGCTTGAAAAGGTCAAATTTATTTATTAATAATGTTTTTAGGGTAAATTATAACAATCCTCACTAAATTTCACTTTCTCTCCTATTTTACTCAATATGCTTTTAGTTTCTCTAGTCTACTCACTAAACTTTCGAATTGCTTATGTTTTGATATCTTTAAATTATTTTATTATTATTTTCGTATGACATGAATTTTTTAATTTATTTAATATAAAAATAATTTAAAATAAAAAAATAAAAATGGAAGGTGGCTGAATATCACCACCGGCTCCCTTCGACGACCGTAAATGGTAGTCGTTCGGTCCCAAATTTCATAGGTCTCTTCGTCTCGACACCCTAAGTCAGAATCTGACTTATATTTTGTCAGAATTTGCTCCGAAATCCACGAATTGAAGATCGAAAGTGAGGAAGCTAAAATGTTTCAGTCGACATTAAGAGGTTTTGAGACATTTTTCGGTGAAACAACCACCAGATTTGGACTCAGGGGTCAATACAAACCGACCCATGAAATTTGAGACCGAACGGACACCATCCACGGTGGTCAACGATGGTGTTCGACCACCTTCTATTTTTATTTTATATTTTAAATTATTTTTTATTAAACAATAAAAATAAATACCACATCGTACAAAAATAATAATAAAATAATCAAGAGTGATAAAAAAAAGGGTAATTCAAAAATTTAATGAGTAAATTAAAAAATTTGAAAGTAGAATAAATAAAATAGGAGATAAAGTAGACTTCAATGAGAATAGTGTATTTTTCTTTTTCTTTTTTTATTTAAATTCAGATTCTAGTTATGAAAATTTTGATATTGACAAGGGAAAGAATATATTTATTTTTGAAAAGTATGAAAGAATATATTTAATTTTGAAAAGTATGAAAGAATATATTTTGATAGGAATATAATCGAATGCTTGAAGTTGGATATAAAAAGGGTAAATTATGTATATAATATTTAAATTATTAATTTTAATTCATTTTAATATCTAAACTTTTAATTTTTTAAAAACTATACCTAATATTTAATTTTTATTTCATTTTAGTACTATGCCGTTAAAAATTTAACGCGTTTAACACTTAAATTATCAATTTTGAGCCATTTTAGTACCTAAACTTTATTATTATTATTTCAAAACTTAAGTTTTAAACAAGGTAATAAAATGAAATGAGAACTAAATGACAAATATGATTTTAAAAAAATTAAAAATTTAAACATTAAAATAGAATAAAATTAATAATTTAAGTACTAAACGCATAAAAACCAAATAAACCCAAAGAGCAGAACAACAATAATAAGGATTGCATAATCAATTAAGTTCCCAAATTCCTTCATCAAGAAATTAACTTATTTATGTAATCAAAGATTAAAAAAAGCAAATACATGGTGCAAATAAGATCGGGAAGTAGTGCTGTAAATGAGATGAGACTGATCGCGAGCTACTCGAGATCGACTCAGTCAAGGCTCGATAAATACTCGGATCGAATGGACTCGACTCGAGCTCGACTCGAATTCTTAATGAGCTAAAACGAGCTACTTGATACTCGACTCGAAAAGCTTGTGAACATCTCGAAAATATAATATATTAAGATTTTATTTTTTTAAAATAAATTATTAATAATATTAACATTTATGTGTTGATTTTTTTAAAAATACAATAAGACTTTCATGTATTTAAGGTTTAGGTTTAAGTTTAAAGCTTCAATTTAGTTAAGTTTAAGATTTTTTTTATTTTGAGCTGTTCACGGGCTTCAATTCAGAATTTTGAGTTCGATTCGAGCTTAAAAATTTTAAACTCACGAGTTTTCGAGTCGAGTTGCAATTTAGAATTTTTGAGTCTAATCAAACTCAATAATACTCGAATTCGATTTGGCTCGTTTACACCCTTACCGGGAAGAACCATTTAACACCGTCAGCTCTTCTCAAAAACCATTATTTTCCGATAAAATGAACACAATCGTAAGAAACCCAACCCAGAAATTTCTTCTTCTTCTTCTTTTTATTGGAGTAAGAGAGTGAGTAGAAGAGAACCTTATAAAGATTGATCATGGTGATTTCATAGGAAACATCGGTCCAATGAGCTCTATTCGCGAGTGTTGTCGCCATTATAGGTTCTGCTTTGGTTTCTCTTCTGTACTATGGAATATAAGGCGACTTGAGAATGGTTTCTCTTCTTTTTAATATTAGGGTAAATTACAAATTTCACCCCTCAGATTTTCTTATTCTTATTTTAATAATTAAAGTTTAAAACACTTCAATTTAATCATTAAAATTTTAATTTACTTCAATTCAATCATTTCATTGTCAAATACTTATGATTGAACATTTATCTTTTAAAATTTATGAAATTATAGATATTATAGATTAAAGTGATATGAGGTTTTTAAATTTTAAATCTTAAGTTGAATTCTAAGATTTTTAAAAGTGAGACTGGTGATTTATATGTTTTTTTATTAAAATTGAGATGATTACAAAGTAATATGTTTTAAATACTCTCTATTAATTGACATTGAATGTTTAATCACTCTATTGTAGTTACTAAAATTCGAACCTGTGATTTTTAGAAAGAAAAATTATTTCTTTAATCACTAAAATAAATTAGTTGTGCATGTTTTTTTTTAATGTTTTTAAATAAAATATTAAACTAATTCGTATATAGAATATAAGGGGGAAAATAGAAGTTACGTGACCAGTTGCCATTGCAGCGCCACACACAATTCCCGGGTCTTCTTCTGTTGTACATTACATGTTCTCAATCCCACGATTCCCACTCGTTCCCTCCCTTTCTTCCATTTCGATTCCCTGCACCATTTACCCCCCCCCCCATTTTCTCTTACCTTGGAACTTGGAAGCTCAATTAAACCCACAAAAAGGATAAGAACACCAAGCGCTTATATTTGTTTGTTATTGCTTAATTTGTCCACGTAATTCTGCTGTTTATTATCGCCAACAACAACAGCTATGGTTTCTGTTATCCCCACTTTTTAACTGGGGCTCTGAAATTCTTCCTTTCATTAACTCTGATAAATGTTCTTTCCACAATCTTCTACTTCCAGTTTCAGCTACCCTTTTCTTCCTCCACTCCGGTGTCGTAAAACCAACAAGTCTCCACCATCCAAAGCTCGGGTCATCACACTTTTCATCCCACATCGGAAGCTTTGTCTCCTTGCTTGCGCAATCCCCACTTCGAAGCCAAACAAGCTTACTGTAAAGGTAGCTAAAAGCCTCGCAGTCAAAGGGTTTAAAGATGAGTTTGCTAATGGGGAAAGTCAAGAATCTTCAGTCAAAATGGGCTCGAGTTTCGCTAATTTCCGGCAAGACCCCATTGTTGACAAGTTAAGGACTCAGCTGGGTGTTATCCACCCAATCCCTTCCCCTCCAATTAACCGAAACATTGTTGGGTTGTTTGTGTTCTTCTTTTTCGTTGGGGTTGCTTTTGATAAAATCTGGACTGCTAGGAAAAGGAGGGGCAAATCGGATGGGGAGGGTGTTAGAATGGGAGGAAGTGGGGTTTGGCCACAAGTCCCAACGAGTTTTTCATTGTTTTTGGAAAAGGATTTGCAGAGGAAAGAGTCGGTTGAGTGGGTTAATATGGTGTTGGGGAAGTTGTTGAAAGTTTATAGAGGTGGGATTGAGAATTGGATCATTGGGTTATTGCAGCCTGTTATTGACAATCTTAAGAAGCCTGATTATGTCCAGAGAGTGGAAATTAAGCAGTTTTCTTTAGGGGATGAGCCTTTATCTGTTAGGAATGTCGAGCGCAGGACTTCCCGGCGAGACAATGATTTGCAGTGAGTTTTTCACCACTTAAACACCATTAGAACACTTCTTGTTACTCCGCTATTTTATTGTAATTGGACTGTGTATGAATGTTGAATCATATGTTTATTTATGCATGGAAATTCTAGTTGTCAATTTTAAAGCATGATGTTAAATTTGGTACTTAATGTGCTATGATTTGAGGCTTATTGTTTGAAGTTCGATTTGCAAACTCGAGAGTGCATTTTAACTAAGTTCCATGTACTTTGGTATAGGTATCAGATAGGAATCCGATATACTGGTGGTGCTCGCATGTTGTTGATGTTGTCATTAAAATTTGGCATTATCCCATTTGTTGTGCCGGTCGGTGTTCGAGATTTTGATATTGATGGAGAACTTTGGGTTAAGTTGCGATTGATACCAAAGGAACCTTTCGTTGGAGCTGTTTCATGGGCTTTTGTTTCTCTTCCAAAGATCAAGTTCGAGTTATCACCATTTCGATTGTTTAACTTAATGGGTATGTAATGGTGATGTCCCTCTTCTCAAACATATTAGTCTTTAAGCTAACAGATAAGGTTGTGTCAATATATCAAGTGAAACTAGGAAGAATTTTTGAAAATTTGAGTATAGCCTGATTTACTTATTGTTCTTCAAAGACTTGTCTTTGCTCATTACCTATTAATCTGTGCATTTGTCGTTGATTTAAAAGGTTAGAAGAAACAATTACTGGATTGAACCAGAAAAAAAACAGAGAAACAAACACGTTTTTGTGATTTTTCATCGATGTCTTATTTCTTTGGCGCTTGCTGAGAATTCCCTTGTCAAGAAAGTTTTAAATAAAAGATTGTTAGGAGTTGATCATTTACATGGCAACTACCATTGAAGATGCTGATACATGTTATTTTTTACTTTTTTGCATGTACTGGGCAATACCAGCAATTCCAGTTCTTTCCATGTAAGTGCAATTTGTTTCAAAGCTCTTGTAATCTATGCAAGCTTTCTTATTTGGTTTGTAAACATTTTTTTAATCTTTTTTCCATACCATTCTGAAGGTTAAGATTTTCAAAATGTTTACAAGGATACATCACATTACAGATGTCTTTATGTAG